AACAAAGAAATTTTACTGGAATGAATCAAACTGTCCATCACTTCATATGAGACAGAGCAGGTTTGGATATGATGCTGTGCACAAGTACATTGTGACATTAATATAGCTTCGTAGTGTTTTGTCATGCTAAACCACAACTTCTTGCTACTATATGTTAGTAGTGACAAAACTTTAGTTAGTTCCCATTACTGGTGATATAAATGACTCCAAAGCTGTGCCCACTCATGTTTTGGTTTAGGTGGGCACCACCATGGCCACGGGCAGGTGGAAGCAGAAGTTTCTGAACAGAAGGTTGTAGAAGGAGTCGTGGGACAAAGCACTGAACACGGCCACAGTCACGAGCAGCTCCACGCGTATATCGGCGTCTCTCTGGTGCTGGGCTTCGTCTTCATGCTGCTGGTGGATCAGATCGGCAGTTCTCACATGCACAGCAGTGATGGTCAGTACGACGCTGGTGTTTTTGATTTTCACCAATTAGAATGGTATAAAGTGTCTAAATCTATTCTCTCCACATTTTTAGATCCAGAAGCAGGAAGGACTGCTAGCTCTAAGGTCACCACCACACTTGGATTGGTCGTTCATGCTGCAGGTAAAAAATACTGTGAATGAAACATCTTTAGTTGCAGTATCCTAATATTTTCTAGTAGTAGCTTCAGATTGTATTTGGGTCTTATTTATATGTTAAGTCTGACCAATAATCATATTGTATTCTCTCTGTGCTCCAGCTGATGGTGTTGCTCTTGGAGCGGCTGCGTCCACGTCTCAGACCAGCGTCCAGCTCATTGTATTTGTAGCCATTATGTTGCATAAGGTACAGTCAATCTTAATTTAGTTCATTTACTTCTGCTCTACATTGTGTATTATGTTATTGTTCTGTGAATATAGTTGAATCTTGTGATAAATGATTTGCGCTGTTCCTTATTCGTATTGATTTGTTTAGAAATGCCTGTTGAGTGACTGAATGTAAATGGATGGTTTCCAAATAAATTCTCCAAATATTTAAAACATAGACTCAGTATATTTAAAAAAAAAA